TAAGTGGCACCAAGCGTAATCAAGTTAGTAACTCTCTGCCTAGAATACACTGAGTGCGAGTTGAATGGTGTCGAACATGAGTTAGGATAGAGGCTTTCTGCCTGAATGAGGTCAAGTGTATAATTTATTACACTAAGCATGATTGTCATAGGAGCTCTCTACCTCATCCACGCTAGATGCAGGTGGATCGGCGCCAGGTGTGGGCAAGCTATAGGCCCTCTACCTCAATGATGTCAAGCTTGGGGAGAATGGCAATGATTGTGGGTTATCAAATGAAAATGTGTTGTTAAATTGACTAAGTTTTGAACATATGTGTAATAAATTGAATTGCTCACATAAATTATGTTGTTATATAATTCTATCTCTTTGTGCATTGATCTAGGATGATGTATATTGATGCTTAAGTTACTTAAAAATAGTAAGCTGGTTGTGAATGAAAGTTGAAATGTAGTGAAGTCATATGAAGTGTAGGGTTGATAGTAGTTGTGTTGTGAATAGTTAATGCATGGAGTTGTACTATGTTAATTAACTTAGGACTAAAGGAGAGATGTCGTTTTAAAAGATGAATATCTCATTGTGAGGATATGGTGTTGTTGTGCTTTACGAGCCTAATTGTTAAAAAAACCTTCATGAGTACATTTGACTCTTGAAGTGGAATGTTGAGTCTCCTTTAGGTCCTTAGTTGACACAGTATGAGGATTAGGTCAAGTTATACTACTTAAAAGTGACCAAATAGAATCAAATAAGGTACAAGGTCAAGGGCCAAAATCCCTAACTAAGTATTGGAAAGGGTGCAATATTTGGAGGGTAGTTGATTAACTAATTCCATAATACACTTAGTTATGCATATTAAGTTTGTGGTAGACTCACACCCAAGTTGTCATAACCTTGACAAGAATACTATACTTTCTTAGTTTAAGTAAAATATGAGACATCATGTTGTATTATGGATTTTTATCCAAATTTGTTATTGATTTAGCAGACTCAAAAAGATCGCATTGTTAAGTTGGTTTGATAGGGTCAAGTCATTTAGACTACTCACTTGTGTTGTAAAAGATCTCTTATTTGAAATACGTGAAAACACATTATGTAGTTGTGTTGATATGTCGTGAAGTTGATGTGGCTTGAAAGTTGACATGTGTTGTTATGTAGTAAAGTTGTTTAAGTTGTTGTGTTGTAAATAGTTATCTTGTGAACTATTGTGTTGATTACATGTGTTGATCACATGTTGTGTTGAATTGTGGTAAGTATGGGTGGTATGCTAAAATTGTTGTATAGTTAGTTTAATACTTCTATAATATGTTGTTTCTTTTGAATCCAAGCTTACCCTTATAATTTCCTTGTGGTTGGACTGTGATGATCATACTTGTAATGGGAGTAAGGCAAGAATAAGTTGGAGATTGTATATGTTGGAGGATGGTGGGGTTGTGTTGGAGCTACTATAATGTAGTTGTTGCTTGACTGACATTCATATGTACAAGATTTATGTTGTAGTCTCACTGAGGAACATTTTATGATTTTAGTAGATTATTTTCCTATACACACACACACACACACACATATATATATATAGGGGTTATAATTACACTGGTGTAACTTTTACTAAGTATTACACCGCTTAGTAACTTTATATTAATTGTGAATTTTGTAAATCCAATCGTTAGATTAAAATTTCATATCACTTTATACGTGTATATCAAATTTTGTTAAAATTGAACAACAATTTGAAGGTAATCAAAGTGTTCATATTTTAGTGTATTTTGAAATGAATATATTACGTCAATTTTGTTTTATGAAAATGAAGTATCAAATCATCTTGGATTAATATAAAATTTTATATATATGATCTAAGAGATATGAACGGTTGGATTTACAAAATTCACATCTATTATAAAGTTATTGAGTGGTGTAATACTTAATAAAAGTTACACCGGTGTAATTATAATCTTCGTTATATATATATATATA